TGCTCAATTTCGGCCAAATGCATTGAAACTTGCAAGCGGAGAAGCCGTTCCAGCGATATTTTACGAGAGAAAAGTGTTACACCACCCCCAATCTAACCACTTCGGAACAAAGGTCACACCACTCTCCGAAGTGATAGCTATCCATCCGACACTGTTACACCCCTGATCTAACCACTTCAGAACAAAGGTCACACCACTCTTCAAAGTGACAGGTATCCATACGAAGTGCGGAACAAAGGTTACACCACTCTTCGAAGTGACAAGTATCCATCCGAAGTGGGACGACCTCAACATGACACACTGCAAGGTGAAGAGTATATCCATTGAAGTAACCGAAGTGTCCCTCAACTTCGAAGCATTGGGACCTCCGAAGTATTCCCTGAGTAGATCTCTCCACCGCCACCGTCAGAAAGATATCTGTCAAGATCTCCTTTGCCTCCAAGGATCAATTGATGTGACGTCTCCATAGATCTAGTTGATGTGACATATTGACTTTATATCAGCTCAACTTAGAATAACTAATTGCCCGTCCACTCTAGATGCGGCTGATTGACGCCTATGAGCGGATGCCTCACACCGTCAGATGTATACATGTGTCCCACATCCAATGGTGCCCAGAACCACGAACTCTTCTATTCCTTGATGGAGCTCGACAGATCAAGCATGAATAGAGTGTGAGAGCCCCAGGAAGTCAGGTAGTACCATCCCTTCGTCTTATCACCCATCGCCGCAACCTTAGGTATATACATTGTTTGGAAAACAGAAAATGGCATCTCTTCCCCATAGGATGCCTCCTTCCATAGCATCTACGAACCCACCATCTGGCTCCAGGAGTTCGGATTCAACTGGGTAGGGGTTAGGCCATATGACCTTAATACATATCTAAAAAATGAGTGGATGGGCAACATAAGACCCGCCCTCAATAGGGCCTCGCTAACAGCTACGCACCCTGACCTTAGGTAATAAGCTCGCTTATCCGGCCCCGGGAGTATCAAACCCATACTATCTGGGATTCTATTCTCAATCCTGTCTACAGTTTTCAACTTTGATGGATAGTCAGAAGCCCCCCAATGTTCTGACGTGTCTACCGGGCTATCAGGCCTCTGCCATATGTTCCTCCCCCTAAAATAGCCTCGGCCACCTCACTGGACGTCGCCAATATAAGCTCATCTGCCCGAACTACACCCAGCTTCCTCCCTAAAGCGTTGCTACTCTCAGAAGCCATCAGAATTCAAAAAAATGAAAAACTAGAGAAATACTTACTGAAATGAACGGATTAGGGTTTTCTACGGTCGGAAAATAGGAAATGGTCCTCTGAAAGTCGCCGGAAACTGAAAATGTCATCGAAAAATGCTTAAAACTCGTCGAAAATCGCCAAAAATTCAGAGAGCAATAGGGATTCTCAGTTTGCAAAAGTAAAAACATCCGAATGGCATGAAGTCCTCCTTTTATAGGAGAACTCAGACAATCCGCACCGTTGAATTCAAACGATGTCAATCTAAGTCGTTCATCTCATCACAAATCTAGATCGTTGAAATGAAATTCCAAATTTGATCAATGCCCAAGATCTGACTGTGCCCCTCACGCACGCATAAAGTGTGCCACCTCAAACAACAACAGCTGTCAGCAATAAGTAGCCGCAGCGGCCCTTTTCATGGGAACAGACAACACATCCAACTATCGCCTTGAAAATACGCAATAGCTGTCACGTCGATTAACGTCATAATAAAACGCTTCAGATCAGAGACAGTCCATGCCAATACGCCTCGGATGAAATACTCGGCTTTACAAGTTTCGACGCACCTGACGCGGAGATCCCTGTGGGTCATCGCCTCGGAGGCTGCGTTTCCTTCTAAGCTTTACAAAGTTTTAACCATCTCCTAACGCGTCGTCCCCTGTGGGTCAGCGCATCAGTAGCAGATGAGCTCTTCAACTAGCTTCACAAGCTTCGACGCACCTGACGCGAAGATCCCTGTAGGTCATCGCCTCGGAAGCTGCGTTTCCTCCTAAGCTTTAACCATCTCCCAACACGTCGTCCCCTGTGGGTTAGCCCATCGATAGCAGATGAGCTCTTCAACCAGCTTTACAAGCTTCGACGCATATGACGCGGAGTCCTCTGTGGGTCATGGCCTCGGACGCTGCGTTCCCTCCCAAGCTTTACAAAACTCTAGTCATCTCCCAACGAGTCGTCCCATGTGGGTCAACGCAACGGTGGTAGATAAGTTCCTCCGCTAGCGAAACGACAACTTATATGACTCGGTGGAACAGTGAGGGCTTGTCACGAAATAATCAACCGAGAGGACGTCCTGCCCACATAGCCTCGATTATCACTTCGCCTCAGCCAACAAGTGCTCGGTACATCTGCACTTCATCAGAGTCCGCAATGCGTACTCTAAGGTCGGCACACAATCGAAAAAACAAGTCCGCTCATGATATAAATATTCATGCCTGAACTTGGGGGACCACTGTTACACCACCCTCGATCTAACCACTTCGGAACAAAGGTCACATCACTCTCCAAAGTAACAGCAATCTATCCAACACTGTTACACCCCTGATCTAACCACTTTGGAACAAATGTCACACCACTTTCCGAAGTGACAAGGACCCATACGAAGTGCGACAGGTATCCATCCGAAGTGGGACGACCTCAACATGACACGCTGCAAGGTGAATATTAGATCCACTGAAGTAACCGAAGTATCCCTCAACTCCGAAGCGTTGGGCACTCCGAAGTACCCCCTTAGTAGATCTCTCCGCCGCTACTGTCATAAAAATATCTGTCAAGATCTCCTCTACCTCTAAGGATCAATTGATGTGACGTCTCCATAGATCTAATTGATGTGATATATCAACTTTATGTCAACTCAACTCAGAAGAACTAATTGCCCACCCACTCTAGGCGTGGCTAATTGACGCTTATGAGCGAATACCTCACACTGTCAGATGTATACACGTGTCCCACATCCAATGGTGCCCCACGTCTATAAATATCAAAGGTTTGACAAGAGACAAAAGTAAGGAAACTCTTATAACTTAGCTCTCCATACTAAGAAATATATATTCTCCTCCCCACTCTTTTGTATAACTTGAGCACTGTTCCGATCACCCAACACTGACTTGATCGTCGGAATGTATGCGGTCGCCATCACCATCGCTAGTTTTGGCCGTGTGCTTTTGACCCTGCATTATTGTGCGTGGGGAGGATTACGTGGAGTAGCTATCCGTTGGCCACGTGGAGAGTTAAATTCTCGAGGTCAACAAAAAGTACAAAAAATGGAAGGGAAAACAGAAAGTACGTTAGGGTTTGAGGGCAGCGCTGGCAGAATAATGATCGGTGCAAGAAAAAAAGAAGCAAATTTGAACTTGCTTAAGAATTAGGAAATGAAGATAGGCAATTGGAAAACAGTATGGTGACACTTCAACTGTTGGAGATGAATAGTTATTTTTTTGAACAAGGATTTTCTGCTCAATCTTGAAGACCGTGATAGAAAAACTCGAGACGATCTGATAGATGATCGGGGTGGGGTGGAGAAGGAGACGAATAGTTGTTTTTTTCCTTTTATTTTTATTATTTTATTTTAGCTATTTATTTTAATTATTTTATAGGATTAAAAAGTAAAGTTACCCTTTTACTCATTTAAATTGATCAAAATTCAAATTTATTGATCAACTAACGGTCAAATGGATATCCATTTATTTGGACCACAGTTGCATATTTTTGAAAGGTTTGAGACTGTAGGTAGCACAAAATGAAGGTTAAAAATAAAGTCTACAAAAATATAAAATGTTAAGGATCGCTGTTGCAATTTTCCCTTTATTTTATTGCTTTTTATTACAGAGGACAAGGATTAGAAGCTAATTTCAGTAACTATGCCGTGGGAGTGCAATCACCATTTGAAATGGAAAATCAAACTGCTAAGTTGGCCAACTTTGAGATGTCTAGTTAACTATTTTGCCTCGACACATTTTGAAACGATCCGATTAATTTTTGAGTTTGAGTGGTATTTCATCGTTAATTACAATTAATCAATTAATTCTTCAACACTAGTTGATTCAGACTTCTAGTCACTTCACCCAAGTTACCAGCATGCATAAATTGCCATTGAGAACAGAATAATATTCAAGATTGTCGATGAACTCTGTCTATAACTAATAATCAAGGTCTAATTCAAGTGATAAAAGCATAATCTTTTGATCCATTTAAATACTAGAGAAAGAGGAAGGGACAAAAATTATGTCTATAATCGACCCTAACACGCATTTTTTTTCTTTTAAGAGGATATTTTGAGTAGTGGGTATTTTGTCGGAGTGCGACCATATAGATATGCAGGAAGGAGTGAATAGTTGGTCTTTATCTCTTGTTTGGCCTTAATTTAAAAAACTCATTTTTAATTACATATGTTACGAGATTCATAGTTTTTATCAAATATTTAACCATATATTTCATCAAAATCTACTATTAATCTTTCTTTCTTTTTATTTTTATTTTTTTGAAGTATTAGTACAACCATCAAAAAAGGTGACACAAACCGAAAAGTGGAAAGAAAGAAAACTTCACACGAGAGAATGGAATCCAATCTCTCTCTCTCTCTCTCTCTCTCTCTCTTACTCACACAACTAGGAGAGAGAAATCATCAGTAACCACCTCAAACATTCCCTCCATATCTAACAATAAAAAAGAGCCACCAAATAACACAAATCACTAAACTAAACAAACTATTCGGTACAATATTGAATAGAATTATACATGTCATGTTTACTATATAATATAGTGTAGAATAAAACCACTTGTACAATGTTTATGAACGATTTGGTTGACAACAAATGTGTAGAAAAAATCTTTCCCATTGGTTTTAAAAATTATTTTTCAAATAAATGGATGTGATATTTGTCAACTCATTCATTATAAGTCAAATTGTAAAATAAATTGTACAAATAACATAATTGAACTATATATTTTTCATCCATACACTGTTCAAAAATTTATTTTTTCCTTCAAAATAGGGCTCAGGTTTAACTTAACCTAAGCATTATTTACTGTACAGTGAACCCACCCAACTCCCCATAAAACAAAGCTGAGAAAGCAAGCATACTAAATTTTACAAACAAAAAAAGCACTTATAATTCCACACCTCAATCTCCAATTCCACCACCACCGTCGCTGCCGCAACATTATGACACCATGACAATGTCCGCCGACCACCACCCTCAACAACCCACCAACCCGAATCCACCCACTACAGTCCGAAAACTCGTGGTAGAAGTAATTGAGGCTCGGGACCTTCTTCCAAAAGATGGACAAGGAAGCTCTAGTCCGTATGTGATGGTAGATTTTGATGGGCAAAAGAGGAGGACATCGACAGTGTACAAAAATCTCAACCCAGTATGGAATGAGGCCTTGGAGTTCATTGTATCGGACCCGAAGACCATGGAGTTTGAGGAGCTAAATGTTGAAGTTTATAATGATAAGAAGCATAGCAATGGAAATGCAAGGAAAAATCATTTTCTGGGGAGGGTGAAACTGTACGGGACCCAATTTGCGAAGAGAGGTGATGAGGGATTGGTCTATTTTACACTGGAGAAGAAGAGTGTGTTTAGCTGGATTAGAGGAGAATTGGGATTAAAAATATATTATTATGATGAGATTTTAGAGCAGGGCTCGCCACCACAAGAGCAGCAGCAGCATCCACCGCCGCCGCAAGAGCAGCCGCAGGTGTCGGAGGAAGTGACAAAAAAACCAGTTGTAATGGTTTACGAGGAGCCGCCGCCGACTCACATTGCAATGGGGACGCGGGAGCCTTCGCCGCCGGTGCATCATCATGAGCCTCCAGGGGAGACGGTAATTGGGCCTACTGCTGAAGGTATTCCGGCCGTGGGGGAAGTCAGAAGAATGCAGAGGGGAGGAGAGAGAGGGAAGATTTTTCGGCGACCTGCGAATGGAGATTACTCCCCGAGAATTATCCCCGGGAAGTTTGCCGGAGACACGTCGGAGAGAATTGCGGCCTACGATTTGGTCGAGCATATGCAGTATTTGTTCATCCGAATTGTTAAAGCACGTGGGCTCGCCCAGAATGAACATTCTTGTGTGAAAATTCGCACTTCAGGCCATGTTGTACAGTCCAAACCGTCGATGAATCGACCAGGCGATTCATCTGCAAATCCTGAGTGGCACCAGGTTTTCGCCATACCCTACAATAAAGAAAATACAGCAAATTCCCCACTCGAAATATCAATCTGGGACGCCTCGTCGCAGAAATTCCTTGGCGGGGTGTGTTTCGACCTCTCTGATGTTCCGGTTCGGGACCCACCGGATAGCCCGTTGGCTCCGCAATGGTACCATCTCGAAGGCGGTACAGTCGGTGATCCAAACAGAGAAATCTCTGGTGATTTACAGCTCTCTGTTTGGATTGGAACTCAAGCAGATGATGCGTTTCCTGAGTCATGTGGCCCCGATGCTCCATCTCCACATGTATCTTATACGCGCCCAAAAGTTTATCAGTCACCAAAACTTTGGTACTTGAGAGTAACAGTTATTGAAGCTCAGGATCTTCATTTAACACCGAATCTTCCTCCGTTAACTGCGCCAGAGATTCGTGTGAAGGTTCAGCTCGGGTTTCAGTCGGTTCGGACTCGACGGGGTTTAATGAGCCACCATACTTCTGCATTTCACTGGAACGAGGATATAATCTTAGTTGCAGGGGAGCCACTTGAAGATAGTCTCATTTTGTTAGTGGAGGATCGGACTGGGCAAGACCCAATGCTGCTCGGGCACGTCCTGATTCCTGTCGGGTCTATCGAGCAGCGATTGGACGAGCGCCACGTGCCGGCCAAGTGGTATGGTCTCGAAGGTGGTCCAGGTGGCAGTGGATCCTATTGTGGGAGGCTACATTTGAGGATGTGCTTGGAAGGAGGGTACCATGTTCTTGATGAAGCAGCTCATCTTTGCAGTGATTTTACACCCACTGCTAAGCAGCTTTGGAAGCCTGCAGTTGGGGTTTTGGAGCTTGGAATACTCGGTTCTCGTGGCCTAATGCCGATTAAACCCATGGGCAATGGGAAAGGATCTACTGATGCTTATTGTGTTGCCAAGTACGGGAAAAAATGGGTTCGAACCCGGACTATTACAGATAGCTTGGATCCAAGGTGGAACGAGCAATACACATGGCAAGTGTATGATCCTTGTACTGTCCTCACCATTGGTGTGTTCGACAATTGGCGTATGTTTGCCGAGGCAGGGGAGGAGAGGTTAGATTATCGTTTAGGAAAAGTACGTATAAGAGTTTCTACCTTGCAGAGTAACAAGGTTTACATGAATTCATATCCTTTGATGGTGTTGTTGTCGGGAACAGGTTTGAAGAAGATGGGGGAGATTGAGTTGGCAATTCGGTTTGCATGTCCATCATTGCTGCCTGATACGTGTGGTATTTACGGGCAGCCTTTGCTTCCAAGAATGCACTATCTCCGCCCCCTTGGCGTGGCTCAGCAGGAGGCATTGCGTGGCGCTGCAACCAAAACGGTTGCTGCGTGGTTGTCTAGGTCTGAGCCACCATTAGGGCCGGAGGTTGTCAGGTACATGTTAGACGCAGATGCGCATACTTGGAGTATGCGGAAAAGTAAGGCTAATTGGTTCCGAATAGTGGCCGTGCTTTCTTGGGCAGTTGGGTTGGCAAAATGGTTGGATCATATACGACGGTGGAGGAATCCTCTTACCACCATATTAGTCCATGTTCTGTACCTAGTTCTAGTATGGTATCCGGATTTAATTGTCCCAACGGGATTCTTGTATGTGTTTCTAATAGGAGTTTGGTATTATCGGTTTAGGCCTAAAATACCCGCAAGCATGGATGTCAAAATATCTCAAGCTGAAATGGTTGATCCGGATGAACTAGATGAAGAAATGGATACAATGCCAAGTTCAAGACCGCCTGAAATTATTCGTGTTCGTTACGACAGATTGAGAATGTTAGCAGCAAGAGTTCAAACAGTTTTGGGAGACTTTGCAACACAAGGTGAAAGGGTCCAGGCCCTGGTCAGTTGGAGGGACCCTAGAGCCTCAAAATTGTTCATCGGAGTGTGCTTCATAATAACGGTGGTTTTGTACACTGTGCCTCCCAAAATGGTGGCAGTGGCCCTCGGATTCTATTTCCTCCGCCACCCGATGTTTAGGGACCCCATGCCCTCTGCTAGTTTGAATTTTTTCAGAAGGCTTCCCAGTTTGTCTGATAGGTTACTGTAGCGTAGGCAGAAAATTGACAACAATTTTTCACATTGTGGAATCTCTGTCGAGAAATGGTTCGAGGTGTGAAACAACTTGTTGAGCATTTTTTTCCCAGAAAAAATGGTTTTGATTGTTAATAATAATAACCTCGGAAGAAGTGAAAAGGCAAGAAAATTGGGGCCTTTTTGCATTTGAGTTCATTGACTAAGTGTTGAAATAAGGAAAAGGAAGAGGAAAAAGTTGGGTTTGTGGGAAAGAAAAATTTGAAATGACAGAATTCTTGCTGTATTTTTGTCCTTTAAAGCATTAACATCGATTTGTAATCATATTTACTTTTGTTGTATGTACAGTATTTCATTATATGAATTGAGCTTTGCAATTAAATATTTGGAAGTACTCGTTGAACTAAATAAAAGGGCGAGAAAACGTTCTATCAACAAACAAGATTTGAACTTTTGGTCGAGAAAACGTTCTATCAGCAAACAAGATTTGAACTTTTCTTCGTTCTTCAAACCGAATCAATATTGTCTATAGAATATGCCAAACACATTAGGTAGAGTCTAAAAATAGTGTCATTGTCCCATCGAGTTGAGAAAAATAGTTTATCCGACCCGATTAGACATTACTAAAAAGAGATGCACGTGAATTAGGTACCTGATTTTTTCTGTGGCTTTGAGTGAAAACGACTGGCTCATACGGACCAAAGACTTGATTGGAAATGCGTAACTTACGGATATTCACATTTCTATCAAAATCAAAGCAAGCCCATTCATTTCATTGTGCTGTATTTGTATCCATTGTTTAATTGTGCTTAAAAAAGGTCATAGATACAACATTCAAAATCATTATTTAAGTTGAACATAGCAGACATAGATTGTACACTTTCATTAGAAGCCCACAGATCAAGATTTCAGGTACATAAATCCCCTTTCTGAGTACTGCATTTTGGAAGTTTTTGAAGCAAAATACTCTGTTAATTATTACAATATAGAACAAACAGGTTAATCTTGCTGCACCTGCTATTATACAAGTGAATATCGTGTTCGTTTGCATTTTAAGATGATTCTGCAGGGACGGGACCTGTATGTACAAGTATAATAAACCCCCTTACAATTGCTATTTTCACAGCTTATCTTTTCTTCTATTTGTGTTGTTAAGGCAGGACAATCAAGAGCTCACGAGCACTCGTACTTAGGATGGGAGAGACGGGGGAATTACAAAAACATGACGCTGAAATCAAAGTCGAAAAGGAAGAGAAGCATGAAAAGAAAGAGAAAGAGAAGCACGCTGATGAGGGCGAGAAAGGAGAAAAGGGTGCAGAGAAAGCCAAAGACAAGAAAAAGAAAGATAAGGGTGACAAAGAGAAGAAGAATCCTGAAGATAGGAAGGATCCAGCGAAATTAAGAGCCAAATTGGAGAAGATTGATAGCAAAATGCAGGCTCTGGTGATTAAGAAAGACGAAATTTGAAGCAGATCAATGAAGCAGAAAAGGAAGCAGCAAATCTAAGCGCCCCACCTGCCACTGCTTAAAACACTCCACTTATATGTAGATATAGAACGTGTGTGGTAAAAATAGTTTATTTTTGATAAGCTGCACTCCTACAAATTGTATGGACCAAAATTTATAAACCTAGCTTATAAGCCAGATAAGTTGGAAATCTAGTTTATAAGTTGAATTTATGAATTTGGTCCACACAATTTGCGGGACCGCAGCTTATAAGAAAACAATCTTTTTGCCAAACACGTTCATTATCAGGAGGTGACATAGAATTTACAAGGTTTTAGCATTTTTTTTTCCTCAATCGTATGGATATGTAAAATACAGGACATCCAATCCTAGCAGGAAAGGGAGGGAAAACTGTTCACTCTATTTAAAGTCCAAACACGTAGCATGAGTTTATGGGCATCCTGTTTACGGTTGATGCCACAGAATAGCTTTAGTTATTTCGTTCGAGGATGTAATTTTTGCTAATGGGATATGAAACTGCACCAATGTGACTAATTACTAAAGCAGAAGGCAATATATAATCAGAACTCAGACTCTGAAACTGATGCAGAAGTTATTCAATCTTGTTTCTAGATGTAAAGATACCAAGAAATTTAGAAGTAATAAAGGGAATTTGAAATAAACCAGGAATTACCTTTAATCGAGCTTTTGTGCAGCAGATCCAACGGTAAAACAGGCTCGGTTCCTGGAAAGATGTGTGATAGATGAACAAAGTCGAGAAAAATAATTCTCGTAAAATGAGAATTATTTTACGAGAATTATACCAACCAATACCTCTGGTAGTTCAATATCCATTCTTTAAACACAGAAAAGGCTAAAATATACAAGCAATGGGAAATGGAATATCCAAAATCAAACGAAAAACAGATTTACCAACACCACGAAATATTAAGCAATATAGATAAAATCTTGTTTCGGTCAGAATTTCAAAAACCGAGGGAGAAGTTAAGATAGATTATGCTGGGAAGCCTGAAGAAGTCCATCGCGGATCTGAGTTGCCACATCACGAACCGCACCAGGTCCGTGAGGTATGAACACAGCAGAAGACTTGGAGGTAGCACCTATTTCTTTCATTGTATCGAAGTACTGAGTTACGAGAACCATATCCATAACATCCTTTGCAGTTGTTCCAGGAACGTTAACCGAGAAACCTAATACACTATCTCTTAAACCGTCCACAATTGCCTGACGCTGGCGAGCAATACCCAATCCTGCCAGATATTTAGCCTCCGCTTCACCTTCAGCTCTCTTAATTTGCAAAATCTTTTCAGCCTCAGCCTTCTCATTAGCTGCTAACCTTAGCCTAGCAGCTGTAAAAATTTTAAAAATATTCACGAACTGAAATGGTTGAATGTGGATTATGTTCTTATAACTGAAAAAGTTGTTCCCCTTCCTTTCCCTTCTTATTTCACATCTAAATACAAATTATATCCCCATTGATATATGAATATTC